ATGTATCCTATCCTTTCTCATTTGTGGTCTTGTATACTTTTGTTTTCTCCCTTAATTAGTATTATATTGTCTAATTCTAAAGGGAAAAATATTTGTGTATGTCTTTATTATCCTTTATGTTATTTTTATATTTCTTATTTTATTAATTTTGGTTTTAATCTATGTTAATTCCTTCTTCTTGGCTTGTTCTTTTTTTTTTTATCATAGTTTTATAATCCCTGTAGATGAACGTTGACCTTTTTTTCTCCTTTCTGTAAATAATGAACATATTTAAGGCCATAAATTTTCCTGCAGTCTTTGCTGTGTTCCATTGGTTGGATATGGTGTGTTTATATTTTTTGTTGTTTTCTAAATAATTTATAATTTTTATTTTTTTATTTTTTTCTGTAATACAAGGGTTATCTAAGAATATATTTAAGGAGTTTTTGGTCTCTTTTTTTAGAAATTTATTATTTTTCTTTTTCTTTTTTTTTTTTTTTTGATTTGTGATTAAAGAATGTGATCTATATAATCTCTTTTTTATGTTTCTTAAGGCTGGTATTGTGTATGTGTATAGGTCCAAGTGTAAGACTGATTTTTGTAAATGTTTTGTGGATAATGACAAATCTTTATCTTCTATTTGCTAACTTACTTTTGTCCGCTATATTTGTCCAATTTGAAAAGAGTCATATTAAAGTTTTCTATTATTATATTTTAACTGATTACATACATATAATTATTACAAGTTCTTGCAATTTTAGTAGCATTTGCTTTCTTTCCTTCCCTACTATGTAATTTGGTACAAACAGTTTTATGAGTATTTTCCAATCTTCACAAATTGTACTTTATACCATCGTATAATATTTCTCTTTATTCTATTTAGGGCTTTTAAACTGTTTATCTTGTTCAGTACTTTTAAATTCTATCTCGTCTATTATTAATATTACCATTCTTGAATTTATATTCTTTGTTTTGTGCTTGTGTGATTTCTCTTTGTCTGTTCCTTTATTTTTCCAAATAATATGTAACTTTTTTAAACCTAAATTAACTGACTAGCTGAGAGAATTCAGTCCACTGTGATTAATTTCATAATTAATATACATAAATTTATTCCTGCCATCTTATTAAAATTTCTTACTTTGGTCCTTTTTATTTTTTCTTCTTATTTTTTTACTTAATCAAAGGCTATTAATTTCTCCTTTTTCTTCTTTTTTAATTTGAGAGTTCTACTGTACATTTAATTTCATTAACATTTTCATTCATCACCAGTACATAGCCCTATCATTCCATGAGGCAAATTATCAAATATTTCTCCCCCAAACCCTTTCTTCTGCTGCTTCTCCCCATGCCCACTTCTCCTGACAGTGAGACCCCTGGGATCCCTTTGCTGCCCCACTCTCTGCCCCTGCACCCATCAGAGAAGACCTGGGGAGCATTTTTATTTTCTCCTACCCTTCCCCAACTTTTAGACTATTTGAATAGTGTGTCTCTTTTACTGTTCTTTCTTTAGCCCTTATATTATATATTCTTAGATGGTCTGTCATTATTTATTTTGATTTAACTCTGTGGATGTTGCAAGTTCTGTTGCTCACCACTGTTTTTTTTGTCTTAATCTTTCCTCACCTTGAACATGCTCCGCAGATTCATCTGGTGCTGTTGTAATCTCCTCCCTGCTTAGGCGCTCCCTCAGGTCAGGGGTGTGGCGGTATCCCAGCTGGATATGGGTCTCTGCAGTCCTCAAGAGTCCATGAATGTTACTTCATTGCCTTCTACCTTTTGAATGTTCAGTCCAGGGCCAGTCTCATTCTTTCTCCTTTATAAGCAACTTGCTATCTTTCTACAGAAGGCTCTTAAATGTTTTATTTCAGAGCTCAAGAATTGTATAAATGAATGTCTACATGGTATCTTTTCTCATCAAGTACACATGACATAGCACATAAAATGTATAGGCTCAGATCTTTTTAAAAATCAGGATAAGACCCTTTTTTAAAAAGTAGTTTTTTTTTTCTTTAAGATTTTTAGTTTATTTTTTGACAGAGAGACAGCGAGAGAGGGAACATAAGCAGGGGGAGTAGGAGAGGGAGAAGCAGGCTTCCCTCAGAGCAGGGAGCCTGATGTGGGGCTCAATCCTAGGACCCTGGGATCATGACCTGAGCCTAAGGCAGACCCTAAATGACTGAGCCACCCAGGCGCCCAGTAGTTTCTTTTTTATAATTATTTTTCTCCCCCCACTTTCCTTTTCTTTTTCTGGAACTCCTATTATTTACAGGTTAGGTGTTCTTTCCTCCACACTTTCATAACTTCTCTATCCTTGTATTTTTAAAAATTCTCCCACTAGATCTTGAAAACTACTAATTCTAGGCTCAACATTCATCATCCTTTCCTTCAACTTACCTACTAAATATTTTGACTTACAAATCTTATTTTTTAGTTTCAGGAAGTTTTTCTTAATGTTGTACTTGTACCTCTTCAAATACTCTTCTTCTGCTTTCCCCAACAGTTCTTTATTGATAAGCTGTTCTGATTGCTCTCTTCATTCTTGCTTTCTCTGGCTATGAGACATCCTTATTAGATGTCCTTTTATTTTCCTTTGTTCATTGTGGCACAGGTCCAGCTGCTGGACACTTTAAGGGGACTGGTCCTGTGAGGGTGGGAAGGCACAGACATCTCCATCATCACAGGCCCAAAATAGGCAAGTTACCATTTACTTATTGAGGCACCAAGAGGGAGGCTTTCTTTTGCATTAGGGTAGAGAAGACTCAGCACCCCCCACACTTCCTTACAGCCAGAGGATCAGGCACACCCAGGAGTCCTGTGATCATTGAGGGACAGCCCTACCAAGGCCTGCTACATGCTGGTCCTTGCCTTTGAGTTTTCCTGCTGTGGTCCCAAAGCTCTGTTCAGCCCAGAGCAAGAAACTATCTAGCTCATACCCTCTACCCGAGTACCGGTCCCAAAGTTGGCTTGACTCAAGAAAAGAAGATGTGTTTGACCTGAGTTAGAAGTGGAGAGGCAGCAAAGCACAATTAAGTCATCATCTTCCCCAAGTCCCCTGGGGGATATAATGATAAGCATAAAAATGACATATTCTCTGTCCTAATGTTGCTTGTGAGCTAGTTGGAAAGATAGACAATAGCTAAGTAAGGAAGCAAGTAAATAAATAAATAAATAAGAAATAAAAAAGAAAAAGAAACCCACACATAATTCTGAATTCACAACTGTGATTAGTGCTATGAAGGAAAGGTAAATAGGAATATGACCCAAGATTCCAAGAAAGAGTAGGCATTAATTGTGCAATGAGGGAAGAAGAAAAGAGCTACAGGCAGAGACCTTTGAGAGTGGGCATGGCACATTTCAGGAGGCAAAAGAAGAACAGCATGCCTGGAGCCAAAAAAGCAAGGGAAAGTAGAGTGTGAAAAGAAGCTGGAGAGGAAGGTAACAGTTACGGGCCAGACTACACAGGGTTTTAAAGGCCATGGTAGACAGTGTAGTCTTTCCCTAAAAGCAGGTGGCTATTAGAGTGTTTGACTCCATGGGTAAAAATATCTGATTCACATTTCAGGAGATCATGAGGATTCCATGTGGAGAGCAAATTTAAAGGAGCCATGTGATGCAGGGAGATCCATGAGGAGGGTACAGTGAGGTTTGAGGGAGGGTGACAGTGTGATCAGGAAGTGCACTTTTAGGTAGTCAGATGAAAGCGGGTATGAGAGTGGAGGGTAGGGAAGGGCAAGCCAAAATCACCGATTCAGTTGTTCATGTCAGGGTGGCTTTGAGATAGTCAAGTGGAGAAGTCAGTAAACACTGTGAATCTGGGGCAGTCCTGGGTAAGAGATATAAATTTGTGAGCCTTCTGAGTTTAGGTGTAAACTAAGGCTCTTAGGCATGAATGAGAATATCCTGGAAGAGAATAAGAAGAGAAAAAGACTATAATTTCTGGTATTCTGCTAGTATCCGTCTAAATCTCTTCTGGAAAGGTGATTGGTAATGCATATCAGCGTCTTTAAAAATGACTGTAAGTTTGATCCTATAATTCTATTTATAGGAATCTATCCTCAGAAAATAAGAGTAAGTGTGAAAGGCTTATGGATAAAAATACTCACTTAAGCATTATTTCTGATTATAAAAATAAAGGAAATTACCTAATTAATATCTGGAAGAGGTTAAGTAAATTATCATACATTTATATTAATGAATATCATGCCATTCTAATTTGATGTTTATAAAGATGTAATGGCCTAAGTAAATGACCATAATATAGTAAGTAAAAAAAGGACTCAAAGTTGACAGAGAGAGAAGGGGGTTGGGGAGACCTCAACTGTGTGAAAGATGGATAGAACAAGAGTATAAAGAAATGTTTATCTGTAAACCGTGGAAAGTGGATACTTGTCACCATTTTTATTCTTTTATCTAGTTTCCAAATCTTTCTAAACGGGCATGTATTACATCTTACGTATTATTTTATTGTTAGGAAAAGAAACAAAATTATAGTATTGCCCCAGTTGTCAATATGCCCTTATTAGCATTTCACTCTGTTGAATACTGGCTAATGTTTTTTCCTTTCCACGGTATCAATGAGCATTTCTGTTTTGAATATAGGATAGTATTTTAAGTTTGTAAGATTATTGCTGTATCTTTTAAAGTTTTATGAGCCATTTAGGCTTATAAAATGGTTTCAGAAAATTGATTAATTACTAGGCGGCAGCAGATCCATTCCCCTGGCACCACTCTGACTTGGCACCCAGTGTACCATCCTGAGAGCATTTCTCTTTCCTCCCCTTCTTATTGCTTAGCGGCACAAGTGGCTCTGAATTCTTTCATGTGAAGTTTTAAAAAGCTTATGTAATAAACATAGGAATTTACCAGTTATTTTAAATACAACGAATTGTTTTTTTTTCCTCCAGTGACTGTCTGAGAATTATCCATTTGGACTGTCATTTGCATCATCATTGTCTGCAGTGATATAAAATCATTTTGAATTTGGTTCCAGACTAAAAGCATGATTTTTTTTTTAATTCCAGGAATGTGTACAAAGACTATCGCTTCCTTGAGCTGGCATGTGACTCGCAGGAGGATGTAGACAGCTGGAAGGCATCTCTGCTAAGAGCTGGGGTTTATCCTGATAAGTCTTTAGTAAGTTGGATATATCTCTTATCTTATAATTATTAACCATGCTTAAGAAGACATAATTCTATATACTATATAATGGAGAAACTAGTTCTCTTTTGATTTAATTAGTTTGGAACAGTTCTAAGTAATACTTTGCTCATATTTCTTTTTCTCCATTAGTTTCTAGAAGTTTATCAGTCTGTTTGTTAGAGAAAATGCCCTACTTTGCCATAAAGCATAATATATGTAATCTCAGACCAAGAGAGAATTTCTTCGTTTTAATTTAAAATTTTATTTTCCCTTATGTGGTATTTCACAGTTGTCCTAGTATTCATACAGCTGTTTAGAACATTCTTCATATAGTCATAGTATATATATCATGTCATCACACTATTTCATATACTTAAAAATGTACTTATTTTTATAAAAATCTACCTCCTTTCATTATGTCTGTAGTACCTGAATCCAAAATTACATCTGTATTCAAATTCTGGTTAATGTCATTTGGAGTGTGAAAGAAGAAAAACATTATATTGCCGTTCCTACTTATCTTTATAAATATACTTCAAGTGTTTGAAGTCACTTCTCGCATTCAAGTTAATAAACAGAACTTCTGTTTGTGTTCTTTGGAAAATGTCTGGATTTGAATTTCAGGAGTCCCACCCAACATGTACACACACCGTTAGACAGATGCCACTGATGAGCGGCTCTTTCTGCTTACTTCCTGTCCCCTTAAGATGTTCTGTCCAGGTGTCTCCTCAGAACGCAAGTGCTGAGACTGAGCCTTGGGGATTTGGTCCAGCTTGACCCTTGTGGTGCTTACTTGGCTCTAGATCGGTTTATAGGACTGATCATGCACAAGTCAGGTCATTTCTAGGCTCCCAGTAGGAAGAGTCTTCTCAAGAGAAAGTCTGAAATATGGGTGCGGGGGGGGGGGGGCAATTGAAACATCTCTGGAGGAACTTTGGCCTTGACCCCATCCCTGAGGTTGCACTGGAATTTAACAGAGTTCCAGAGGTAAAGGATTAGGGATTTGTGCCAAAAAGTTCTTCTCATTGCTGTTATTTTAGCTCCTACATAGACCTCTTAACTCCATCCCAACCTACCCTTGCCTGGCCAGCACCTAAAACAACGAACCCCCCACAACATACCCTGTGCCCTCCAAATGAGGTGAAACAAGACCCTTTCCCGGTGATAACCAAGCACAGAGGTATCTGTATGATTTCCATGGTTGTCCAAATTTTATCACTGTGTACATATATATTTACATAACTATATGCCACTCCAAAAATTGCACGTGAGAAATCACTTAAAAACTAAGAGTATCACCTGTACTTTTATTATTAATTCTAATCATTTATTAGTCTTCCCTCTCCATTGATGGTGGTGTGTTTAGTTTCACATACATTCTATATTAAAAATGTACATATGCTTAATTTTTTTATTCACTCAGTCCACAAAGCCTGTGGAGCACACGCTTTTTGCCAGGCGCCGTTCTAAGCCCTGGTGCTACAGAGGTGCGCAATAAGGTCCCATCCCCAAGGAGCAGACATTAAACAAGTGAACGAATAACTGTATAATTATGTAGTGTGATTTTATGGGAGTGATACAGTCTATAAAAAATAAAGAAAATTAAAGGGACAGACAATCAGAGAGGGGCAGGTAAGCTTTCTTTTAGTGAAGATGATGAGGGAAAGCCCCTTTGAAGAGTTGCCATTTGAGTAGGCTCCTGAAGGAAGGGAGGGAGAAAATGAAATGAGGGGAAGAATATTTGTGGAGAGGGCTAACAAGTGCAAAGCCACTCAGTGTCTCAGAAGAGCAACAAAAAGTCAGTGAATCTGGAACACAATGAGGGAGGACAAAAATATTTGATAGTTTCCAAGAGGGTAGTCGGGGCAGATTATATTGGTCTTGAAGGATGTGGTGAGCATTTGAGTTTTAAGTGAGATGGGAAGCCATTAAAGGGTTTCCAGCCAGTTAGTGACATGATAAGAGGGACACTTTCTAAAAGATTATATGGCGGGGTATTACAGGAAGCTGTACAGCAAGTGTGTTCAAGCAGAGGTTTTAGTGTCAAACTCCCGAGACTGAAATTCCAGAAGTTCACATGTAAGCTGTGAGATGTCTAGCCTTTTTATGTTTCAAAATTCCCATTTCTAAAATGGAAATAACAGGAGTCCCCTATAGCTTGGTTGACAGGATTAAGTGAGAGAATGCAGGGAAAGCATAAACAGGGTGGGCACAAGTAAGCACTCTATTTATAATGATGATGATGATGATAATTATCATTTTCATCACAGACTGCTTTAACAAGTAGATGAGAGCTAAAACAATGTGGATATTATAATGAGCCCAATGAGATCATAAATACTTTATGCTATTTTCTATTTCCAAATAATGCTTGGTTGTATAGAATGTTTGTGTGTTGGATGTATGTCTTCCTACCATGCAACTTAAAGTTTGTGAAGAATATTTTTCAGTCATGCTTTTGTCAGACTTATTTTAAATGCACTAGACAAGTTTGCTATTTAAAGAAATTATGTAATACATCTCTTGTGAGGGAAAACTGTCTTGGAAAAACAAAATTACCTTCCTATCTCTGGTGAATCCAAATTTACAAATGTGGATTTTCATGTATCCATAGCTCTGCACAAAGACAGGCAATGAAATATTTGCATTTTTTATCAGAATACTCAATTTTAAGCAAATCTAGAGTTGTCCTATGCAATCTGTTTGATTCTTTTCACATCATTTTTGTTTATAAATACACTTTTGGTACAGTTGCTTGGAAGGTCGAGACAAAAGGGTTTTTTACTATATGCCAAAGACATGACAGGAAATTAAACTTGGCAGTATGCCATGAACATTGCTTTTCTCAGTTTTCATCATAAACAATATTTGCATTTCTTATGCACCATGTAGTTCTGGAGGTTATATTACACGATTGCTTGACTTTCAGATGTTTAAATGGCAGCTAACTACTGAAAGCAATCTAAGTAGAATGCTTGTGTAAACATTCATTTTGTGAGCATGCTTAGATTTGGGGGAATGGATACTTTTAGGTACAGTTATTCCTAATTTAGAAAGAGTTGATGAAAAAGTCAGATTAACCTAATAACAGAGGTCTCTCTGTAAGTAAATTTTTAGGACTTCTGGTGTGTCATTTGGGTTTTGTATCAATAAACCACTGAGTTGACAGCAAATCAATCACTGTTCTAAAAATGAAACATTTATTTGTCATACATGGACATAAGTCTAGACTCAAGAAGTTCTACTTTCTACACAAAACACCTCTATTTTGACTGGAAAAAAATCTACAAAGATAATTTTTTTAAAATTGTGCAATTTTGGCTTCATTTTGATAAATAGTCATCACCCCCATTTTGGTTTTAGACAAACTTTTTTTTCAACTAAGATTGCCCACTTTTTTATGACATGCTTTTCCCCATCATATTTTTTCTATCATGTCCACATGATGGAATATTTTTATGTCACTCATATCATAGCATTTGTTCTGCTACCTGGTGTTTTCTATCTCTTGGGTTGTTTCTCTTGGAGTTTTCTACAGATTTTTTTTTTCTTTCTTTCTCTTCCACCCTCTTCTCTCCCTTCCTTCCCTTCATCCATCACTGTTATGGAAGATTCTAGAAATTCAAATAGAAAAAGATGCAATTCTTACTTTATAGGAGTTTCAAATCTAGTGGAAGTGAGGGATGCAAATAAATAATTACAATGTGGTAGGAACCACAGTGGATATCTGTATAAAATGCAACAGCCCAACTATATTTCTATGTGGATTTTCTAATTACCTTTAGTCCCTTAATCTTTCTGGTTCCAAAGCAAAATGTAGACTTCACATTTGAGCAGTGTAATGTGTGGCCCTAACATGGAAATGAGAAGTCCTGGATCCAGTTTCCCACTATGGCACTGCCATACTCCATGAACTTACACATAACCTCTCTGAGCCACAAATTTAGACTTCTACCAGTTACCTCATCTTTCTGAGCAGCCACAGTACTTTAAAAATATATGTAAATCTGAATTTGGATTTAGCAGAATTTTATTTCTTTAACTTCTATTTCCTTTGGCCATTAAATTAAAATTATAACCACTATAAAATTTGTATAAAATTTGTTAAATAATTGAATTATTACACAATTTTGAAGTAGAGATTTTTCTGAAGGAATTAATTCATAGTATTTTAGGGTTTTTTTACTGATGAAAATGAGATAAAAAGTGTGTGTGTGTACCAGTATTATAGGCTACAATTAAAGAACTTTGAAAAGATTATTTTACAGGAAAAAATATATGTACATGCATCAGTAAGTGTGAATACAAATAAATGTGAATTTCATTAAATATCTAAAGAGCGTGATATAAAAAATGATGGACTTTTCTGGCACAGTTTTGTCAGCTAACAGTATGACTTAAATTGTATATAAACACTAAAGAATTCCAAATTCCTTGGGACATTTTGTGTGCAGTGAAATGAGGTAGACTTTAAGTCAGATCTACTCACATTTGAATCCTGACCCTTCTATTTATTGGCTGTGTGGCTCAGGCTACTTACTTAACTCTTTTTTTTTTTTTTAGTATTCTTTTTTAAACTCAAAATAATGCTACCTTCCCCTGCGTGATTTTATAGGATTAAGTGAGAACTATTGCACATGACTTCTAGCTTGGTGCTGCAACTGGGTGAATGTGTTCAATGCCACGTAGCCTTTATTATTGATGAAAATCATTAATGGTCCATGAAACCCTAATTTCCAGTTTAGTAGTTACGTTTTCCTTTGCAAACTATCAGTGAGACTTGGGCACATGAGGGAGAATTTCCTTAACTGTTGGCTGAGGAGGCAGAATTGTTTAGGGGGTGTCTTGGGTTGTGCTGCCCTGTGGCCAGGCTGGCTTGGAAGGCTCCGTTCGTCCGTCAGGAGTGAGCCCAAGGGGCTGCCTGTCAGGGAAAGTGAGGATTCACAGGCCTGCCCTCCGATGCTGGCCTGTGGGCTATCTGAAAAAGCAGCCTG